CAGCCCTCACCTTCCCCAGTACAGCAATTACATGCTCAGCAGGCACCTCGGAAATGTTTAAGTGGTAACAAATGCCCTGAGGGTTCATTATCATCCAGCAGTGCAGACAGTTCTTGCACGGGCACAGGCACCTTGCAGAGGCAGTGGTTCTTTCTGCCTTTGCTGAGCCATTGGCTGAACATATTCCCGCACTGTAGAGGGGTGGGCAGCATGGCCCACCTGCCCCGCTGCCTGCCACTGTGTAATGCTCGCTGCAACACTGGGCTCCACACACATCAGCAACACTGCAGACCCTCCACCGCCACACATGGGCTGGGCAGCCCCCATCTGGCCAAGGAGGAGACTTCAGGGATCTATTTATGGTGAATGAAGAACTCCAGGGGTGCCCAGAGGCATTTCTCAAAGGGTTTGGCAGACTGATGTCCTGTCACCCTGCTTCTGTCCAGCATCTTTTAGGTCATTAAGATAGAGATTCTAATATCTCAGGACCACTTTTACAGTCTTAGAAGCTATTGAGGATCCAGAAGACTTCAATTTATGCTGCTTTTACCTGCCAGATTTTTATGTTAGAAATGAAAACTGAGGTATTGGAAAAAACAATTCATTTAAACATAACAAATGGCAAGCATGTTAACATAAATAACACATCTTTTTAATGAGAAATAGCTATGTCTTCTAAAACAATAAATGTAGCAAGAAGAGAGGGTTTGTTTTACATTTTTGTGAGTCTCTGACATCTGGCTTTGTAGAAGATTCTCAATCTGCTTCCAGAGGCGAGGTTTCTGTCACCATACCTTGTTTTGGTTGAAGTATTTGAAGAAAATTCAGATATGCAGTGAGGAAAGGGGTGGCCTTGCAGAGCCCCCTGAGAGAGTCCTGTTAGATACTTAAAGGTTCCTGGGACGCATTTTGAGAACAGCTGACCTAGTGTCTTCCTGTGGGGAGGAGGTGTGGAGAGGCAAGATCAGATACAGATGTCCTGTGAAAAAGAGAAGCTGCCCCTCCTCACATCACACCCGTGTCTTCTGCCTCGGCTATTTCTCCAGCTGTCCAGCTTGTTTTTTCATTTCTGTTTTTGTTCTTCATGAGCATCTGCCACACAGAAGCCCCAGTGAACCATTCACAGATAACTTCAGTTGCATTTCTTCTTATTCCCGATCTTCTGCTGCTCACATCACATGGACACTAAGATCCCCTGCCCAGGTGTGTGCCCTGGTCTTTGCCCAAATCCCCTTTCTTCGCTCTCCCTCTTGGCGGGCTCCACTCCAGTAGTGCCGGCTTTCTGACCTTGTGAACATGGGAGTCCTGACTTAGGGCTCTTAGACTATCTGGCCCCTCACCCTGGTGCACCCGTCACTTTGATCTTGGTATGACCATCTTGCCATTTAGATGTCCCATTAGATGTCACCCACATTAAAAACATTTTGGTTCAGGGCCTCCCTGGTGGCGCAAGGGGTTAAGCACTGCACTATGAAGCAATCCACAGCCTCTGCAGCATGAGTTTGATCCCTGGCCAGGGAGCTACCCACATGGTGCGGCAGACCTCTCCTGTCTCACCCGCTGCTCCTCTCAGCAGTGTATTTCAGTCAGTCTGCCTGTTCTGTTCTCCACTCTATCTCTGGTGAATCTTCTCGCCCCCCGCATTCCCGGCCTGTACCCCAGCTCTTGTATGCATAAATGAATAAATCTTTAAAAAAAAAAGATGTTTGAATGCATGAATGAGAGAATAGCTGTGTAAAAGACTGGACTTTTTAGACTGGGAAGCAGGCCTGGTTTTGTATTATGGTTTTGTCAGCTACTGGCTGCATGACCCTCACAAGTTTATCAGGCTTTACTTTTCTCATAAGTCTGTTATGACACTACCTGTTGCAGTCAGGTTGGCAGCTCTGACACTATCTACCAGGAGATGGTGTCAGATCCCACAGGGAAAGACTCAGCACCACCAGACCGCCCTACCCTGCAGATGCTCATCGCGAGTAGTAGGTCCCCGGGTTGCCCACAACTTCTGTTAGACTTAACTGCGAATTGGACCTCATGTCCCTTGGATTTGATTATTTGCCAGGCCAGCTCTCAGAACTCATGGAAACACTTACTTACACTCACTGGTTTATTAAGTGATATGAGAAAGGGTTAAGCCGAGCCACCAGATGATGTGAGACACAGGGTGAGGTCTGTGAGCATCCAGCTTCCAGGAGTTTCTCTTCCTGTAGAGACGGGGGCATCATTCTCCTTTATATGGGTATTCTCAGAGGCCTGCAAGCTCCCCAAACTCAAGCTTTTGTGAGTTTTATGGAGGCATCATCATAAGGGTATGATCAATTATGAACTCCATCTTCAGCCCCTCTCTCCTCTTTGGAAAAAAGGGGTATGGAGATGAAAATTTCAGGCTTCTTTCTGGTGACCTGTCTCAACTCAGGAGCTTAATCAGCGACACATCATTAGAACAAAAGGCATTCCTGTCACCCAGGATGGAGGTCTGTGTCACGAACCAGGGTCAAAGACTGACTATTTGAATAAAAGCCTCTTAGAGATCTTATTACTTAGGAAATGACAAGGATTTTAAGAGTTTCATGCCAGGAATTATGGGAAGAGACTATGTGTGTGTGTGTGTGTGTATTCTAATATCTCACAGTACCATTGATTGGGTGGCTTAAGCAACAATTATCTTACAGTTCTGGAGGCTAGGATCTCCAAGATCAAGTTCCTGATCAAGTTCCTGGTGGATTAAGTGTCTGGTAGGGCTTCCTTCTGGTTTGTAGACAGTTATCTTTTGGCTGCATTCTTATTATGTCACCAGTCCCATTCATGGGGGTTCTAATGCATAACCTAATCACTTGCACAGGCCCCCCCTGCAAATACCATCACATTGGGAATGAAGATTTCGATACATGAATTTTAGGGGGACACAGACAATCAGTCCATAGTTCTACCATATAGGGCTGCTGTGTGATTAGATGAGATAAGAACGTAAAGTACTGGTCACATAAAAACATTCTATAGTTGGCTCCCCTTCTCTCCCTCCCCCTCACCTGACTTGCCAATTACACCTCCAGCTCCAGAAATGGTTGCTGGAGTGGGAGGCTGCTGCCCGGGCTCTGCTTGTTGGAGCCAGAAGGGACTGCAGGAGTTGAATTCACAATTCAACTCCATTGTGAATTTCATAGGTGAGGAGACAAAGATCCTCACCTTAGAGGAAGAATAACAACTCACCTCCGGGCTCCCGTGTCAGTTCTCTGAGGTCCTGCTCTCTTGGCATCCCTGTTAGTGACTTGGCTGAGTAGAAACTCAGAAGACTGGGCCTCCCCGGGTGGCGCAGCGGTTGAGCGCTGGGCTGTAAAGCTGCCCACAGCCTCTGCAGCACTGGTTTGATCCCTGGCCTCTGGCAAGGGTACCATATGGCACGGCAGATCTCTCCTGCCCACTGCACCCCTCAGCAGTGTACTTCGTCAGTCTGCCTGTTCTGTTCCCTGCTCTGGCTTTAGTGAATTCTCTCACCCTCCCGCGCTTCTGACTGTACCCAGTGCTTGTATAAATAAATAAATAAATCTTAAAAAAAAAGAAACCCAGAAGACCTAACCTCTGACCCAGGGTCCAATCTCACATTTATTTACCTCTGAATACAGCAAAACTCAGATCCCTGCTCGAAGCTGTTGGGATAGGTCTTCAAACTGGTTTCTTGGGCAACTGATGAGAATTAATTGGAACATGTATGACAGTGGAGGTTTCTGGCTTTACTCAAGACCCATGAAATGAAATCTTGGGGCCAAAAGGACCCAGAAGACACACTTTTTCAGGAACTCCTGATGCATGTACGTTTTGGAGAAAACTGAAATGAGAAACAAGGAGAAGCACATGAAGATTTTCTTTTATTCTTCCCTATGTGGTCACCACCTTTTCTATGGTTTCTTGACTATTTCCTCAGTGACCTACATGCAGAGAGAACACTGGCACTCAGACAGGACTTCTTGGGGAGGAGGCTGCACCAGAGGTTCAGGGGTGTGTGTGGGAAGCCCTCTTAGGAGCATGGCTTGCAGCCCCGTGGTGGGTCCCCTTTCCTAGACAGAGGGTGCACAGTAACCTGCTCCAGCAACCCACAGCAGTGGTCAGAGTGTGGCATCTTGGGGCAGTGCATGGAAAAACTTGCTTGAATGATGACAGCCCCAGCAGCTCTTGCCAATTTCTCAGGATCCATTAGAAAAACAGAACAATCCTTTTCCATCGTCCCATAAATCATTCCACAGGGCACCGTCAGAATGCAACCCCAAAAGATATTTTCATGAGCAGTTGAACTAGAAGACACATCTTGGCTCACTCAGCTCTTCTTCCTAGAGAGCTGAAAGGAAGGTCCTAGCAAACAGGGCTCACGTGCTTGGAGCAAACAGCTGCATTAGATTCTCAGTACAAGTGCATCCAGATTTCTTCAGGTGTGAAAGCTTTGATCTGAGAGGCAAATAGACCCAGGAACATCCTTTTATGGACAGCAGTCAGCGCTGCTCCCTTTCCCAGCGCTGTGACAAAGGTGATGATGCCGAGTTAGACAAGACCAGGGTTAAGTACCGACCCTGAGCCCACTGGTTTTGAGAGCTTGGACAAATCATGTAACAGTCTTGAGCTTCAGATACTAAAAGTGATAATAAAGTATAGCTCACAGCTGAGTGCGTAGTAAATGGGACAGAACATTTGGGGTCCCTGAATAAGCCCAAAGCCTAACATCAGCCATGGCACAATTAATACTAGCTATTTTCAAACTGTTGGCCAAGAGCAACCCCCCTTGCTTGGTTTAAAAAGGAAGGGGGACTAGAAAAACCAGGTGTGGCACTCTCCCTGGTATAGGAGACAGCAGGCCTTGTTCCTGGTGGAATCCTGTCTTGGAATCACTGTCTTGGGAAAGGCCCTCTCCTTTGTGAGCCTCATGTGCTCTCCTGGAAAATGAGGGGGCTGCATTAACTAATCTTCAAAGTCTTTTCCACACTAACCTCTCTCATTTACTGTTTTAACAGCACACAGACCAGATCCCACACTGTGATTGGTGATTGGCTCTCTTCCTGGGGGGCCTGGCCTGCTGACTCCATGAATATTTCCTAAGGAGGTGAGTTCCCCTGTGAAAGGAAAACATCAGCTTCCTTACTGCTCTACACACAGAGTGTGATGACACTGTAGAGGTACAGCAACTTCAGAGGAGAGGGCAAGGGAGGAAGGGGGAGGAGGAACAAGGGAAGAGGAGAGAAGAAACCATTTTCGTTCTCTCTTAATTTTACCTGGGCATCAGCTAGACCATCACGGGCAGATCAGAATGCCTCACTCCGACCTATTAGCTTGAGTTAGAAAATAATTCCAAATCAAACTGCGATGCCTGAATCTATCGCAAATGTCAGCAGCTGGGCCTGAAGCCAGAGTTGTGATCTCCCTCATGTCAATAAATCCTTGAAGTTCCCTCTCCCTTGGAAGCCGGGGTTTCTTCTGATGCTCCTGCTTTCTACCCCAGGCTGCCCTTTCATGAGTAATTTCTTTTAACCCAAGGATCACAGCTGTGAGCCATAATGAAAAGATTTCTTCTGGACTGAGACTGTGAAGAAGCCGCTGCACCAGCAGAAGCAAGTTAGGAAAAAAACAATTAAATCCCATGCTTGCTAACAACTGTGCGGGCAGAGGCCTGGCTGTCATATGCACCATCCACCCGAAGCCAAACCAGGTGCCACAGAGGCTCCAGGTCAGTCTTGCTTGGGTGGGGGGGCTTGGCAATCAGGGTGGGGGAAAGAGGTGACAATGGAATGATATGGTGAATTTCCCACGCTGGTGTCTGAGCTTTCTCGGGCCTTGGACACTCAGGAGAAGGACAGAGGTGGTTCTGGGCCGTCCGCCTCAGTCTTCTGCCCACACTCAGCTCAGAGGCAGGAAGTAGGCGGACTGGCATGGGGAATATTTGAAGTGACGCATCTCATCTTTCCCTGGGGGAGACATATTTCCTGCCTAGCATGGATCTCTGGCACTGTCACTTGTTTTGACAACGTGTACGTCCCACGTGAGGACAGAGATGGGTGGAAATACAAATTCCCTTGGGAATGAAGATCCCGCTGGGTGCTGGGACCTGAGCCTCATCCATCATGGGATTCAAGCTGACCTCGTTCCTGTCTCTTGGAGGACGTGCCTTTTGGCTCCAAAGGGAGGGAGTAATGCTCAAGTTTACCTGAGTGATTTACAAGAGAATTTTCTGTTTTTTATGAGAATCTGTCAATTCATAGTGGGTTAGTAGCTTTAAATATGTTTTGGGGCACTTTTCACTGACACAGATGAAAACTTACTTTGGGTCCACAGTCGAACTTACCCCAGGGCTGCTATTCGGTCACTATTTAGGCAACTTATACTTCTCCATGTGATAACATGTCTTGAAAAGTTGTCTACAATTTGAATTTTGGTAAATAGGTTCATATCTTAATGTAATGGAAGTGGTTACTGCATTGACTTTTTTTCTAGAGAGTTCTTTTGTAATGCAGATAGTCATTCCCAAGTCATCTTTTTTTTCTTTGTGTGATTTTTCATAAATGGGATTTGCTTGAATGGAGCCCCTTCTATACATGTCAATGGCCAGCTTTCCCAGGTTTCTAAATAGCTAAGACAGAGAGGTGACAAGTCAGTCACTGGCTTGGGACAGGGGCGGGGGTTGTCCCAGGAAGGAGCTGTGTTAGAAAGGTCAGGGATTGGGGTGCTTTGGCTCTAGGTTCTGAGTCTCTTTTTATCAGTGTCATGATTTAACCTTGTGACCCTGAAAAATATGTTCAGTTTTCTGAATTAAAACTCAGGGTTAGAATGTGTATCAATTGAAAAATATCTTGGACATCATTTTATAAACTCTGAACATTATGTGTTTCCTTCCATATGGGGCTTGGAAGCACCGGGCACTCCCATGTCAGGCTCCTAGGGAAGTGCTTTTTTATATTTTCCCTTTCTGTCACAGAACGTGAGCAGATATTAATGGACTACAAGTGTCAGGGATGAGAGATGGTTCCTTCTCACTTGGGAGCCCGGCCCAGCTCAGGGAGGCATTAGCTTCCTGCTGGCTCTTGGCTTTGCAAGGCGCATATGTGCGCGTGCATGCACATGCATTCCCATGAGCTCTCCTTCTCCATTATGGGGCGTTTAATTATAACCAGCGCTTTCTTAGATGAATGCTACAATCCTGGTCAAAGGCCTCCTTTAAAGTCATTCTCTTAATTTGTAGTAGCACCAGCGGGAGGACTCTTAAACTGCCAAAATCTATTAGAATCTGTAGTGATGAAACAGACAGGTGACAGGAGAGCGAGAGTGATGGGACAACAAATGCTTTATTCTACCTGGAGGTTTAGCCTTATAAAAGGATGCTGGCTGTAAAGAGGGTTGAGCACCTGGTATTTATTTGAAGCGTTGTAGATTTATTGAGTGTTTCTAGTAAGTAAGAAGAAAAGGGCCAACTGTACTTGTGAAACTAGTAAAACAGAGAGATGAAGCCTTTCTGGCCAGAGCTAGAGATGGCAGTGGAAGGTAACAAAGCCTGGAGGGAGCAGTGTCAACGGGAAATGGGGAACCTGTTGATTTGAAGAGGAAGGACTGGGTGCAGGTCCCTCACGGGGAGGAGAAAGTGGGCAGGAAAGACCAGGAACACAGCTGAAGGCAAATGGCAGTGTTGCAGATACTTAACCACTAAGATGGAAGACTTAGGAGATGAATTGCAGGAAGAGTGTTGCCTGCCTTGTGAGTCACAGTGGTTGGGGTGGTCACAAGAAAAAGCGGCTAGAGCAAGGGATGGGAGGCTTCCTTTAGCTTCTCACAGAGACATGAGATAATCTAAATTGTCAAAGCCAAAAACACTTGCCAACCTTCCTCTGGACACTTTTTCTCCAGTTTGTTCCATTAAGATCCCTGGAGTCCTTTCCCAAGTACATATAATGAAATACGGAGAGAGAAACATATATGGTTTGCAAAATTCTGGAAAGAAATCTTTCTCCCCTATCCATGTTAAATAATACACAAGATGCTGTGCCTCAAAGAAGGTAAGAGAGTTGGTGGTTGGTCAGAGAAGATATGAATGAGGCTCTGGACACTCACCCCAGTTGAAACCTCTCAAGCCTGGGGACCTGGGTTAAGAGGCATGACCAAGTTTCTTTGAAATACTTGAACTTCAGATGATCGGCTTGAAGTAATGTCAGTTCCAGTAGGGCAAGAAACAGTGCAGTCATCATCTGAGTGTTGGTTATCTTTCTTTTGGATGTAGATAGGGGGCAGTAAAATCATTTTGAATAATTGTGAAATGTCAACTGGTGATGATAAAGAAATCCAAGTGAGTTCTATGCCATGGTCTCCTGGAGTGAAGGTAGGAGGTATTTTCAAATTCAGCAGATCCTAATGCATTAGATCTACGGATTATGTGTTTGAATGAGAAGAGATTGAGCTCACGTAACTCCCTACTCACGAATGGTTAGAATATGCATGCAATGAAGATCTTGCTTACATTTTCTGATATCAGAGTTGTTTTTGGCATGAAATAGGTTTTTCTGCTTTGTTTTATGCCATGGGTGTCCTTGAATAGTGAAAGTAGGAAAACACTTGCCTCACTACATTTATTTTAACTATATCTCAGTATCAGTCTACACTTCAATATCCTAACAATTGCAATTGAAACAAAATCTTAATTAGCTGGCACATGATTATTTTTCAGCAAATATATCCTAATTCATGAAATTGCTAATTGTTCTTCCAGGTGCAGTCATCAGTGGGTAATGTATCACTAGTGTGCAATATGACATCCATTATCACATGATGTGACACCAAATTATGTATTTAGTACAAACTTATGCATTGTCCTTTAATGATGTCTATTAATTCATTCAAAAATATTTATTGAGCACTGAATCTGTGCCTGCTATTAGTTAGAATAATAGTAACTGCTAGAGCAAATGAATTTTGTGGCTTAAAACGATTGACGTTAATTTTTTGGCTCCAAAGTCCAAAAGGATGTTCAGTAGACGGCTTTCCATAGGTGGGTGATTCGGGACCCAGCCTTTTCCTGCCTTGTGGTCCTACCACCCAATGTTCTCAGACTCCTTCAATTCTAGCTTCAGTTCTAGCTTCATTTCTACCCTAGCTAGGGTAACAAAAGGCACACACTACCTACTTCTTAACTCCCTCCACCTGGAAGTGACACACATGACTTATTTTTTTTAATTAATTAATTAATTTATACAAGCACTGGGTACAGTCAGAAGCACGGGAGGGTGAGAGAATTCACCAGAACCAGAGCAGGGAACAGAACAGGCAGACTGACGAAATACACTGCTGAGGAGAGCAGCGGGTGCAGCAGGAGAGGTCTGCGCGCCACGTGGGACGATCGCCGGTGGATGGGGATTGAACCAGCATTGCAGAGGCTGCGGGCAGCTTCACAGTCCAGTGCTCAACTGCTGTGCCTCCAGGGGAGGCCCACACATGACTTCTGTTATGACTCAAGTGTCAAGTAGTGTCCTACATCACCACCTGGAGGCAGCAGGTTGGCAAAGCAATCCCTGGCTGGGCACTTAACAGATATCAACTCTATTTAATGAGACTAGAGAAGAGAGCTGGCCCTCTTTGCTACAACTGCTTCTGAGCACTGCTTTAGCCACTAAGATTGTAATGAACACAACAGACAAAAATGCCAAAAAATGAAACATAAATTCTTTTTTTCTTTAAGATTTGGAAATACCAATTCATGGATGGTATTTCATTTTTTGAAGATTTATTTATTTATGCATAGAAGAGCTGGGGTACAGGCCAGAGATGCAGGGGGTGAGAGGACTCACCAGAGACAGAGCGGGGAACAGAACAGGCAGATTAACTGAAATACACCGCTGAGGGGAGCAGCGGGCAAGACAGGAGAGGTCTGCTGAGCCATGTGGTCTGCTCCCTGGCCAGCTGGGGATTGAACTCACGCTGCAGAGGCTGTGTATTGCTTCGTAGTGCGGTGCTTAACCCCTTGCGCCACCAGGGAGGCCCTGAAACATAAATTCTTCACTGAAATTTTTTTCAGTTTTCCATAGGCTGAGATGGACAATAACAAAATAAATCAGGA